AGAGTTCCACGAGAAAGAGGCAACAACAAACCCAATATAATCCCAATATTTGGGGGGGGGGGTCAAGATGTACGCAACGTTACCCCCTCGTAAGAAAACAGAGAGGTTGCTTCATGATGCTTTTATTATGTAATACTAGTAAGTAGCAAGGCACGATACTGTTAGCTTCCTAGTAATCCAATCACATGTCAAGGTGGTCAACAAGGCATGAAATCTAGAAAAGAAACTACTGCCAATTCTTACCAAATGAGCTAAAGCACTCAAGTTCTCAGGCAAGCTCTTCAACAAAATTTGTTTTGTAGGTTCATACACTCCAACAAATATGGCAGAAGCTCTACAAAAAGGTTAAGAGTCAATCAATTAGAGATTATACCTCAGCCTAATCAAGGCCAGATAATCATGAAACACACAGACCATTCCAATACAATATCTAGAAGAAACCAGCACAATGGATCTAAAAAAAACAACTTTTTATTGGACTCCAGGGAAAGTATCTTTCTGCTTCTCTCCAGCTTTGGATTTAGTCATAAGGTCAAATAGGAAAAGTAAAAGAGACCTCCCTCTTAAAGAGCCAACTCAAACACACCGTTTTCAGAGTACAAACCCATATGAACCCTCTACCATCTCATCTCCCCATCTTCTTCTACCAAAATCCTATCATTCAGCTATACAAGCCTCCATTAAAAAATATTAAAAGATCACAAAAAAATCCCTACCACGCACATATACAATAAAACAAGTATAGTGCCGCCTTTAGCATGGCACAATGAAAAAAGAGCTTTGGTTTTCACCTCCCAACAGTCCCAAGTTTCTGCATAAAATCGTGTCCCTATCATTTTTATGTCATTTTTATACTGCCATGCTGGGCCAATATTCTCATAACAGTATGATACCACCAAACTAGTGAGGGGAGTGTTCAGTTTAGTTATACTTCCATTGCATTTTTTACTTCCCGACATTCTAAAGAAAGTACACATATTTTTATAGAGAATAAAGAAAGACTTTTGATGGTTGCAGGCCATTTCTTCATAATCATTTATAAAAATCAATCACAGGAATGGAACTTGGGAGTTCAAAATAAAAAAATGCTTATCAATCCTTTCAAAGGAAGTGAGTTACGGCAAGACTCCAGCAATATTTCCAGCCAAGCCTGAATAAAGACCCTTCATAATTATTTCTCCTCCACCACGGACTACCTAACATTGAATAGAGGAAAGCTAGTCAAATAGTATATTATTCAGTGCTCCATTTTAGATATACATTACATAGCTGATAGCTAATAGCATAAGCAGAGGATTACTATACTTAAATTACTGCAATGATGCAATTTAGTAATGAAATTGAAGAAAAAGAACAAGAAGAAGATAATAACCTATGCTATTAGAAATGAATTATAATAAGTGAGATTCCACTGTAAAACATTTAACCAATCACAAATAAACAAAAAAAAGAAAAAGAAACTTCAGTGCCCAATAAGAAACTACAGGGTGTGAAAAAAGGAGGGCATGCAGAAGGGTCAACCGACTTGAAGCCGAGTCTTTATTGTATCAATTGGGTATAATACAGTTTCAACAACAACACCAGCAGCTGCTCCGGCCACAGCACCCTCTGTGACAGAAAATACACATTTGACATGTTAAAACACCAAATAAAAAAGCTAAGACTTGAAATCAGCTGCTTGCTGCCACTAAGCAATCACAATCTAACATATTAACCCAGTTTTTTAATTGGAAGAAAAGACCAACAAGTTTTTTTTAAAAAATCTTCATGTATTAATATACCTTCAAATCAAGCCATCATCACCACAACCACCACTGCAACCTTAATCCCAAGTTGAGTGTCAATTAAGTATCCAAAATCAAGTAACACCACAAAAAAATAAAACACCATATCCAGTGAATAAAAATACTCTTTTCAGTGAACATACTCCCTCCGTCCCAAAAAGAATTACCGTCTTCACTATTCAACAGTCTCATGAACTTTTTATTTGTGTGTTTTTATTGATTATTTGATAAAATAAAATATACTTAAATGTGTACGTTTTTCTTTTAGTTCCTATACCAATCTTTAAATAAAATGAATTCAAAACAAATTAAAATTTTGCTTCGTTGTTTATCGTAAAGGGTAAAACAATTTGGGACGGGAGGAGTACTAAATAATTATTAAGTCCTCAACATTTCAAGTTGCAAATAAATGGCATTAAGCTCAATTTGAAGAAAAAAATGCTAATTTTCATTATTTTCAACGTTTTTTTTAATAAAAAGAGGAATGTGAAAGAGGTTTAATAGGTTAAATTCAGCTAAATAAACAATTTTTTTTAATTAAAATGCAGGACGATTTTCACAACGAAAAAAGCTAAATTTGTGCATTTGTGAATGGGAGAGAGGGAGTACCATATAGAGTGCGCAAAAAATCTAATGGACTCTTCTCCGGTTTGTTGCCGGATGCCATGGCCATGTTTGCCGCCTTCTGATAGTGAAATACAAGTCAAAATATCAGTAACTTAGAGAGCCCGAGAGAGAGAGAGAGAGAGAGAGAGAGAGAGAGGCAATTGCTGTTTCGAATTTCGATGGAAGAAGCAATTGAGCTCGGAGGCCGTCTCTGCCCCTACACCTAATCAGTGATCGATTTTCCCAACTGAGCACAGTACTTATTTCGTGTCATTTGTTGAATTGAGTCAAAAGATCCTGGCTGACTTTTGCTTATTTATATATTTTCATTAATCATTTTAAAAAATGAAATATTCTGATAATTTCCTATTTTCTACTTTTTTTTGTAGTTTTCAAATATATAAATTATATTTTTTATTTTTATACTATTGTGTAATTAAAAAAATTAAAATCATAAAATTTTTCACGTTTTTCGAAGAGTACAATCATTTACGGACAATGGGAGTACTCTCTTTCCTCAAAGAATGAAATTATACAAAGTATTTTTTAAAGACAAAACTTAAGAATATCGCTAATAAGTTAAAGTTTTAAAGTGTGCATTTAAAATTTGTTTAGATGAACAGAAAAATAATATGTTAAATGTTTCATTCCCTGATATAAAAAATATAAAATTTATTTCAAGACATACTCCAAATGTAAAATTTATTTTGGTATGAATTGCTCGAGACATGAGCATAACTCAGTTGATCGATAGGACATTGCTCCAAGGGTTAATCCATATTCGAATCCTAACAATTGTGAAAAAAAGATGACCATACCTCCTAAACATTTGATTCTTGCAAGTATTAGGCACAAATCTCACTTTATCTCGACCAGACTGATATTATAACTCAATTTAACTCCAAGCAAATTGTCTGGGCTGGTACTAAGGGTTAGGATATACGGAGTAACCTCTTTTTTGTATGAAGCAGGTAAAACTTACTCCGAAGATAAATTATTTTATGTGCACAAACACATTAAGCAATGTCAATACACACTTTCAATTACAAAACCTATTGTTTTGTAATACCAAAACTCTCATTTAAGAGATACGAACATTTTAGAGTTCTTAATTTATTATAAGTTCCACATTAGTTATAAAGAAATTACTCCAAATAAAAGTAAAACATAAATCTATTCACAAAATATTATTTTATCTAATTAATATACAATATATATTTTATTTAATTATAGGTCAAAAATTGAAAATAGTTGACCGAAAAAAGTCAAAATTAGACAAATACTCAGTGGGAGGTAGTAAGTTATACCACATAGATCATCTTCATAAAAAATTTACAATGATCCAATCATCCATTACTCCACAATCATGCAAATCAAAGTAATGTACTCCGCAATGTCTAAAATTCTAATCTCAAAGAGGGAAAGACTTAAAGAAACACAAAGTTTTTAAAGTCTACTCAAAGTTGGAATAATTAAACATCATGATAACGTAAGAAACTTTATCAGGTAAGCTTAGATATACTGGTAATCTTAATACTCCCTCCGTCCCATAAAACATTTCCTGTTTCAGAAAAGGCGCGCCTTTAAAATGAGTAACTTTGGTGTTATTTTCTAATTTTGCTCTTACTTTGTAAAAGAGTAGGATGAGATGTGTAGAATAGACTAGTCATAATTAAAAAATAACTTTAAAATTACTCATTTTAAAGGCGTGCCATTTTTGAAACAGGAAAGGTTTTATGGGACGGAGGGAGTATAAATGAGAGGGTTATTATGAGTAGTATTAATTAATGGTTGATCTTCCTGCAATTCCTCCTGACTTCTCCCATGGAACCACTCAGAACAGAGATGTTTCCCATCTTCACCATGGACATGGCAAACTGCCGGAAGAAAACCTCCCCGCTCTCCGCGTACGCCTCCACCAGCCGGAGAGCCGCCTCGTCCTCCGCCAGAATCTGGTCTGACCTCAGCAGCCCTGTGTGCACCAGCAGGTTGATGAAGTAGCTGTTGTCGAACGTTGCCGGGCTGAAAAAGTCCAGGTGGAACAGGTTCCCGTCGCCCTCCCCGGATTCCGGGCACCTCTTTCGCAGCCCGGCCGCGTACGACTCGTCCAGCGCGGGGTCCGGCTGCCCGGTCCCCGTCTGGTTGTACAGCCTTTGTCTGAAGGTGGCGCACCTCGCGCTCCCAATTGTGTGACTCCCTGCTTGAACAATTTCACAAAAGACTCGTCAAACAAACAAACTCAACCAAAAACTCAAGCTTGTAAATACATTATTACCAGATAAGGCAACAAGATCAAGAAGACCAAGTCCCTGGAGATTGAATTTAGCCAGAATGGTGTCGAATGTGTCGGTTGGGGCAGGAATGTTGTGGTTGGAGCCACTCAGGCTGCTAGATCTGGAGTCTCTCCTTCCTAATGGCACTTCCCAATATGGTCCTCCAGCCTTTTTCAAACACACACAAAAACATGAAAAAAATCCTAGAATTATATTACGAGATTTCAAACCAGCAAAACCAATAGAGTATGGTACCAGGACAACAGAATCCCGAGCAGCAAGTGCAAGAATGTCAGCGCAAGAGACAGTGCGAGGGCACTCGCGCTCCACTGCCTCTTTAATCTCGTCGATCACTTCGTACCCGCGAGCCGAGTTCCTGTTCGGGTTCGATATCTTCTCGCTCCTCATCCCCCCACTCTTGTCGAGAAGCATGGACGCATCGCAACCCTAAGAGTCGTATATTGTTTTGGTTTCAAGTATATCCAAACCGTGACCGATAACATGTCGTTACTATATATCATTACAAATGTCGTCGTACCTGGACAAAGCAGTCGTGGAAATGGAGTCGGAGTAACGAGGCAGCCATTCTAGGATCTTCGAAGACCGCCTTGGCAACAACGGACTTCACAATTTCTAGAGCCCGGGGACACGACCCGTCGTAAAACTGCGGCGACAGGCAATCCCCATGGCAGGAGGAGGAGAGAAGGGCGGCGGCGGCGGCGGCGAAGAAACAGCTTATTATCATGAGTAGAGAATTATCAGACATTATATTCTTTGTTAAGTTATTTCCTGGGATTCTTTGAATTACGCCCAACAATAGGTAAGCTTATTGGGTGATTTGCTTTGCCACTATAGACATTATTGAGACTGGAAGTGGGGAAGCATGGGGAATGGAAGAGGAAGAAGGTGAAACAGAGAGTTATATGTGAAAATAGAAGAATGGAGTGGGCTGATGATATACTTCACATGCTTTGCTTACAAAACAAAACCGAAATTAAACAAAACAGAAAACATATTTCCTGCATTAATTCAATAATTCTCTCACATTTCTTTTAACGTTTTGATGCAAACATAGTAAACTTGCTTGGCTGTATCATTAGGCAATCGGCAAGCAGAAGGCTACTTTTTTTTTGTCTTTAAAAAAAGGCATAATTTTGCCAATACATAATGACATAATGTTCCTCTGAAAAAACCAGTTTTGGTGACTCTAATATGTACCCTCTATCTCAATATTTTACAATTGAAATATTTGCATTAAATAGCGCTATAACTTAAGTCATTTCTCTAAATAGCACTTAAATTATTTTATTCCCTAAGTAGCACTTAATAATGTTTATAATGACCAGTGATGGCGAATATTTACTTGAACAATGACTACTGCATAATGACTAAAAGTGCTATATTGGGAAGTGTTGGGTCAAGGAACCCGGGGGCCTAGGAAACTAGGCGGAAGAGTATAATGTTGGGTTAAGGAACCCGGGGGGCCTAGGAAACTAGGCGGAGGATTATCGAACTAAGTCGAGAGTGCACAAATATAGGGTCAAGTGAACTGAGAGTATTATCGTGCTAGTTAGACGTAATTCAGAACGTCCCTCCCGTGGAATGAGCTCCCCCCCCCTCCTCCCCTCTTCCAAGAAGAGGGGTATATATAATGGGAGAGTTAAAGCTAGGGTTTACATACAAAGACCAGTGGGCCGGCCCAACAGGCTGGGCCGCCCTAAATAAGTAATTAATGAACGACTAACGGGCCGATCCAACAAACTAGACCGCCCCGATTAATATTATACAAAGACCGGATACCCCCTGTCTAGGGTATCCATCATGAGTCCCCCACTTCCCGAGCCGAGAGGAACTCGAGGTGAAGTGGGAGTAGAACAATAATCCACCACGGAAGGACACCGTCTTCCTTGTTGTCTAGAGTGTACAATCACCATAAGAGTGGATGAATCAGTCGTCATCTACAGTCCGTTTGTCGTCTTCGAACATCCTCCCACAATCTCGTCAATGTGTGACCTACTCCACGGGGGATGCCTCATTAAAAACTTGCCGAGGAAAAAAATAACCCATGAGGATGGGAAAAAATCCTTGATCAAGAAAAGAGTACATCTTGTCCCACATAGTGGATCAAGAAAACATTGCTAGGGGGTGAGGTCTTCTGTGTGAATCTCAGAAGAGGTGATCTTCAAGTCCCCCGGACTCGTTGTCCGGAGTCGAGGGCTGTTCGACATAACGGATTGCCGACAAGTGTAGGTACACGCGTACTGTTGCAATCTGATACAAGGTCAGGATGTCAATCATGAAGCTCTCTTGTAATAATTACGAGCCGAGCACCCGGAGTCCCCCACTCCCTAAGCCGAGGAAGAATTCTGAGGTGAAGGGGAGTAGTGTCCATGCTCGACGCCGACGGGAGTCTGTGGCTGCCTCACGAGCTTGAGTGGCTGAAGGCCGAGCTCGTGTGACTGAAGGCCGAGCTCGTGGGCTGAAGGCCGAACTCGTGTGCCCCAAGAGGTGGTCGAGGCCGAGCTCGAGTGCCTCACGCGGTGGCTGAGTCCGAGCCTGGCCTTCTCATTCTTCAAACCTGCAAAATAAGTTCAAAAAAGAACACAAGGCGCTCGCGGGCTCGGATGGACCGATCACCATGCGGCCGAGAAAAGTAAGTCAACGTATGAGTCAAGTTCAAAGTTTTGGACAAAAGATAGGCATAATCAACGAAGTGTGCCGATCGTGTAGTAGTCTGGTCTAGAACAAACCTTGATGTCATCCTTAGTGAGTCCGGGGTCTTCAAATGAGAGCTGCTCGGGTAAGTGAGATAGGCACAAAGATGCACCCCTCGCCTTAGATCCGAGAGCAAAATAGTTCACGTCGTTGAAGACGGATATATAGGAGTGCGTCAAGATGGACGGCTTACCTCGGCCTCACGAATAGTATTGTCGCGGGCGATTTGGAGTGCCTCGCGGGGAGGGCTTACCTTGGCCTCGTAGAAGAGGAAGTAAAATCGCGTCATGAGAGATGGATGGGAGTGCGTCGTGGTGACGTCTTACCTCGGCCTCGTGAAAGAGGAAATGAGATTGCGTCGTGAAAGACGGATGGGAGTGTGTCGCGGTGGACGGCTTACCTCGGCCTCGCAATAATATCGTCGCGGACGATCTTCAACACCTCATAGAGAGGTTTTACCCGGCCTCGCTAAGGAATGACTAAATGAGTTGGATCTGAGCCATGCCCTGAGGCAGGTCGCTGGCCTGTGTGGGGTGTTAGATTAAGCTTCACACCCGTCCCACAACAGGGCTTAAAGTGTTAAATACAGAGTGTAATACCATCGTCCAAAAGAGATCCGATCACATGTGGTGGACAAGGTAACAATAATAATAATGGAGTAAATAATAGGAATTACCATATTGACAATATGGTAAAAAATAATAATAAATACTGAATAGTTGAAATGATGGTGAAAAGACACTTATCTTTTTTCTTTTCTTTCGCACCGTCATAAGTGAAATCCACCAGGAAAATGTAAAGGTAGACAATTTCCTGGCGTTTCTCCTCCACGGGTTGCAGTGCCCATCATGCGTGTCGGGTCCAGCCAACACATCAATGGACCAAGATACTCCATATTTCCACAAGATATCTCAACAGTAGAAAAATAGGCTCCTTTCTTTTTTATAGAGCCGGCAGATTTGACAGAAGAAGCAATAGAACTATGCAAGAAAGCCCGCACACTTGTCGGATTGTCAGATTGATTCAGGCCGAAGTCGATGGAGGTAGGTCGTCGCCGGTCTGGACTGGTGTCGGAGCCCGGCTACTGGATTCGAACTCGCTCGTCGTCGGCTACGACGGTTAGCTGCTGCGATCGTTGGTCACTGATCTGCTGTCGGGGGTTACCACTGCTGCGCTCGCCGAAGGGAAGGGGTCGCCGGAACGAGAGTGGAGTCGCCGGGAACTTGAGAGAAGTAGGGAGCGGCTTGAAGGAACAGCTGCTGTAAAGCCCAAAATCGATGACTCGTGGCTGGCGGAAAGAGCTCCGTTCGGGTCGGATCGTAATTTGACCTAATGGCTACCATCTACATTTTAGATCTGTAATCTACCTCACCTATCAGTGTTCTCTTGCGTTCGCGGGGTCCTCGCTGGGATAGGAGGTTAGAGTGTCGCCTGAAGCCCGCCGCAGAGGACATGAACGGACTACGGCTTCGCCGCCGGTGCTTGGGGGCTTAGGACGGAGCAGCGCGCCGGCGTCCATGGAGACAATCTTATCCACAGCGAGGTTCAGTGAAGCATCCGTCTGGAACTCCGGAGCTAAGAGTGGCGCTGTACGCCGGCGTCAATTACCCGGACAGGCGAAGGGGCGAGAGAGTCTCCTCCCCAGATCTGGTTTCAACCTTCTTCCTTATGGATTTCTTTCTTTTTCAAAGAAATCCAAATTTGTGTAGCCTCATAGTGAAAATGGGAGGATTCGATTCCCAAAAGAGGATGATAATGGGAGGATTCGACAGACTAGACCGCCTCGATTAATATTATACAAAAACCGGATACCCGTGTCCAGGGTATCCATCAGGAAGAAAAACACCTATTTAGGAAAAGTTATTATGTTTTTGTGCTATTTGAGTAAATTTCTCTTTACAATTTTTGATTCCTCAAGTATTGACCGTTTATTCTTTTTTGGAGGTAAAATCAAACTATTAATTCATCAACACTAAAATCTATTTTGATTTTAGTGTTGAAGAGTGAACACAAGTCCAAAATCGGGCTCGACCGGACTAGAATTGAAAAAACAAAAAACCGGAAACAGGGAAAGGGTAGGACCGAAACCTTGACCTTAAAAATTCCGATCCAGACCGGTCCGGACCAATTCTTTTCCGGTCCGGTCCGGTTTAGACCAAAAAACCAATATTTTTAATTTTTTTTTCCCAGAATATATCTGCACGATTTTGACGACCTAGCTTTATTTAACATTATTTTTATTTTATTCTATTTGTTACTTGTGTTTCAAGAAATAAACATGCAAACAATTCATCAATAAACTGATACGCTTAAAATAAAATTTATACTTTTTTAGTTTGTGAGTTTTCAAAAATATGGATAAATTTATATTTTATACATTTCTACCTTACCAATAATAAGTTGAATATAAAAGTACCTAAAAATCTAAGTTCGAACGTAACATTATACTCAAAGACTTTTATATAAACAAAAATTCATTAATAATCAAATATAAGTAGTATTAAAAAAAAGAAGAAAAGAATAAACACATTCTGCTCTGACCAAGAAATTGTCCAATTTTGGATCAGAATGGACCAAAATTATGCCGGTCCTCAATCGCTGACCAAGACCGTTCTAGATCTTTACTAGTCTAGCCTGGAACAAAATTTTTCAATCCGATCCAGTTCAATTTTTTGCTCTAACCCGGATTCTATACACCCCAACTCAAGTATCAAAGGTATCAATTTTGATCGTTCAAACTATTTCTAACAAATCCATTTCAGCCTCAACCTCTCCGGCATTTAATGCTTGTTTTTTGTATTTTTATTTGCTAGCTTGAAATTAATTGTCCAATTTTTTGTGGGTTATTACGAAATATTGAATGGAATGTCTTTTATTAACGTTTATGGATGAAATATTGAATGGAATGTCTTTTTCAGTTATTACAACAAAATGTAAGGACCTCCGTTGCCTTCTTGAAAATAGAAGGATCTGACTGTTATTTCGACAAAATTCGCGTTACCCATGAGTAATTTTCTGCCGTATTAATCATAGACTATGAACATTTTTGACACGGATAAATAACAAACTGATTTAAAAGACGTACTTGGCATTTAAACAAATTTCTTAAATTTGAGATTTTCAAGAAAGTAAATAACTCTTCAATGCAACATATTGATCATTAATATCTTTATTTAAATATATACAAATGTATTATTAATTATTTTATTCATTTTCATTGTTAATTTTTATTAGTAATTTGATAAAATAATATAGTTCTCTCAAGTATAGTTTATGAAACTTTTGATTAGTTTTCAAATTTTCAAATTTTATTTTTAAATTTTTTACACTTACCATCAAATAAATTGAATTAAAAATAAAATTGATCAAGTCTTGAACACATAATGGGAAAATATATAAGGGACGAATGGAGTACTACTTACAAGGCTGGACACGATTCCGGTTAAGAATTGGTACCGAAACTTGCGGTTCTGGAAATGAAACTGTTAGGGTACCGAAACAATTGGAAAAGATTCTGATTCTTAAATCTTGGTAGCGGAACCGGTTTTTTTGTGTTTTTATATTTTTAAGGGTTAAAATTTATTTGTTTGAGGTTGATTCACCATATTTACTACCAAAAAAAGAACTTGAAGTCATTTATATAATCTTTTTATCAAAATTTTATAAAAAATATTCGATTCAAAATTAGAATCGAGACTGGAATCGGAATCGCCCAACAGTACAGGTTCCGGTTCCTCTAAAATGATGAGTATAGGAACCACATTTCGAGAAGCAGAATCGTAGCCGTACAATGTCCAGCCTTAACTACATAGTTTGACCCCTTAAGGATATGACACTTTTACCCTTGAATTCTGCTCTAATTTTCCGAGCTAAGGAAATTGCCCTCGGCATCTACGGTTGAGTGAGTATGTCACCTCCATGGCTTCCATAACCCGAAAACTGATTATACCCAGGACGACGATACCCATTCCCAGGCTGTACGACCCAAGAAGTCCTCAACCCGACCCGGATAACCCCTTCGTCCCCTTCTCCAAGCTTCGAGAGCGAAAGCTCCTCGAAACCCATCTAGTCTCCCTCCTCGACGTCTGCAACAGCCTGCCCCAAATCCGGCAAGTCCACGCGCAGGCGATCCGCCGCGGCGCAGACCAGTGCTGCTATGTTCTCACCAAGCTCATCCGGTCGCTCACCAAAATCAATGTTCCCGTCGACCCTTACCCGCGTCTGGCGTTCGAAATGGCCGATGATCGGAACCCCTTTTTGTGGACCGCCATGATTCGAGGCTATTCGATGCAGGGATCGTTGGAGGAGGCGGTCAAGATGTACGGTCTCATGTGCCGGGAGGGTCTCTCCCCTGTTTCCTTTACCTTCACGGCGCTGCTGAAGGCCTGCGGCGATGATTTGGCGGTGGAATTGGGGCGTCAGATTCATGGACAGTGTGTTAAGGTCGGCCGTTTATGCTCGGACTTGTACACGGTGAATACTCTGATTGATATGTATGTGAAATGCAGGCTGGTCGTTTGCGCGAGGAAGGTGTTCGACGAAATGCCTGTGAGAGATGCCATCTCGTGGACGTCCTTGACCTTAGCTTATGCCAAGTGTGGGGATATGGATGCTGCAGTCGAACTGTTTGATGAAATGCCCTTCAAGGATATGGTGGCCTGGACCACGGTGGTCACAGGGTTGGCTCAGAATGGGAGACCGAAGCAAGCCATAGAGCTCTTCTGCAAGATGCAGAATGCTGGCGTGCAGGTAGATGATGTCACATTGTCTGGTGTTATCTCGGCTTGCGCTCAACTGGGCTCCAGCCAACATGCGGAATGGATAAGGAATGTGGCCGAGAAGTCCGGGTACGGGCCTGCGGATCACGTGGTCATCGGGTCGGCATTGATTGACATGCACTCCAAGTGCGGAAGCCTGGAGAGTGCTTGTGAGGTTTTTGAGCAGATGAAGGAGAAGAATGTGTTCTCTTACAGCTCCATGATTCTTGGGTTTGCCATGCACGGCCATGCATCTTCTGCATTACATCTCTTCAGAAGAATGTTGAGGACAGATGTTAAGCCGAACGACGTGACCTTTCTTGGCGTCCTTCTGGCGTGCAGCTACTCAGGCTTGGTAGAACAGGCCAAACATTTCTTTCATCTGATGGAGAACAAATATGGGATCAAACCAGAGGTGAATCACTATGCGTGCCTGGTTGATGTTCTTGGCAGGGCAGGGGAGCTTCAACAAGCCCTCGATCTTATTCATAAAATGCCCATAAAGCCCAACGGAGGCGTCTGGGGTGCCCTACTAGGAGGTTGTCGAATCCATGGCAACCCAGAAGTAGCAGAGATCGCCGCAAACCATCTCTTTGAGCTTGAACCGGATGGAATTGGCAATTTCGTCCTTCTCTCCAACATCTACGCCTCTGCAGGAAGGTGGGAAGACGTGTTGAAGGTCAGGAAGATGGTGAAATCGAGATTACTAAAAAAGAACCCATCGCGCAGCTGGGTAGAAGGGGATGGTGGGGCCATCCACGAGTTCTACGCAGGGGATTCTTCCCACCCCATGTCCGGCGAGATCATGAGAGTGCTGGGGGATGTCGTGGGGCAACTGGGGTTGGTTGGTTATGAGCCCAACTTGGGCTGCGTGCCCTATGATTTGAAGGACGATGAGAAGAAGAGGATTCTGATGAGCCACAGCGAGAAGCTGGCATTGGGGTATGTGTTGCTGACAATGGGGACAACCTCGGAGATCAAAATCATGAAGAATCTCAGGATCTGTGAAGATTGTCATTCTTTCATGTGTGGTGTGTCTGGCCTCACTGGCAGGGCGATCATCGTCAGGGATAACAAGAGGTTTCACCATTTTCGTAATGGTTCCTGCTCTTGTGCCAACTTCTGGTGAAGCCAGGCACAAAGCAGCTTTGAATGTTGGAATAGCATATTATTCCTCTCGTTTGTGTTGTCTTCCTTTAGAATACAAATATGTGCATTGGCAAGCACAGATGCACAAAAGGACAGTCGAATCTGACGGGATGAAGAAGATGACTGACTAGCTGTTGGCGGTTGGCAGATTCCATTGCAGGGTTCTTCATCTCCTCTGACTAATCAAGGTTAGGATCTTCCTTTACATATGAGGATATTTAATCTATACACACATCTCTTTTGAATCGCATTGCTTTATGTATACCGTACAACCGACGAATATTCACTTTAAATCAACACAATGTCCATTTTAAAAAAAATAACGTATGTTTATTTCGAAACAGACTGAACCCAATCTAGTTTGGTCTTATTAAGGTCTGTTCTCTTCTTCTCAACTTTAGTCTGATCATATTTGAATCTTTCCGATCTGAATATTTTTAGTCTGATCATATTTAAAATTTTTCTAAATAGGACTAAAACATAAGTCATTTCCCAATGTAGGACTTAAATTTTTTTATTCCCTAAATAGGACTTAATAATGACTAGTGAAAAAAATAATGTCCAAGTGATACTAGATATTTAGTTGAATAATGACTAATAGATAATGACAAATGGTCCTACATTGTAAAATTAAAAAAAAGATCCCATATTGAGAAAGTCATTATACTATAGTCTTTAGGTAAATTACTTTTTTTAAAAATAAGAGTGACACATGTGTTTTTTTTCCAATGTAACACTTTTAGTCATTTTCCATTAGTCATTATTCAAGTAAATATTCACCACCACTGGTCATTATGGACATTATTAAGTGTTATTTACAGAATAAAACAATTTAATTACTATATTTAGTGCAAATATTTCATAAGAGTAGTCCTATATTGAGAAAGTCATTATGTTTTAGTCTTTTATTTAGGTAAATTACCCTTTTTTAAAATAAGAGTAGGTAATACTTTGAGATTCCAATAAAAATAAGCAAATGCCCCAAATAAGAATATATAGGTTCGTACGTAGAAGAGGCTCTAAAACTTAATGTTTGGTTTTAAAATTCACGTTAATAGGAAAACTGAAAACAAATGAAAACGATTGATAATTGATCTTTCATACAAAACCACATCATTTCATTCGATCAGGATTATTAATCTTATCATACATGAAACAGCCACCTTATTTATATAATTAAGGATGATAAATAACACCCTATTTATTTAATAATAATAATGATGATGATGATATGAGGATATATATAATTATAACAACTGGATAGGATATAAATATATAGATAGATGTCTAGCAGGTCCTCATCGGTCATCAGGTTCTAATTATATTAATTAATTAATGATGGCCGCCGCCGGGGAGCTTCTCCTTGATTTTGTCCATAAAACCTTTCTTCTCGTGATGCTCTTCTCCTCCATAGCCATAACCGCCGCCGCCTCCGGCACTAGGGTGCCCTGTGGTGGGCCCATACTCACCCTTGGTGTGACAGCCGCCGCTCCCCGGCAGCTTCTCTTTGATCTTCTCCTTTATCCCCTTCTTCTTCCTCCTCCTCCCACCTTCCCCGTCGTCCTCCGACTGCACGCATTATTCAAGTTAACCAAAAACTCAATCAAAAGTTGGAGGTCTGGAAAATACTTCAATTATGTGATTCTTAAAAACACTTTGAAATTGCAAAATGAACTTACAGAACTGGAGCTGGAGCTACCAGAGCGGTGGAGCATGCCGCCAATAGTACCATGGTGCTCCCTCCCAGTTTCAACTCCGTGTGTCTTGTAGCCATCACCGGCCACGCCGCTGCCCCCCAGAATCCCGGACGGAGCGGTGGTGTTTGCATAGGGTCCCACTCCCGCCATGGTGCCACCGATTCCGTGGTGGTCCGCCATAGGGCTGTTACCATCCTCGCCAGTTTGTGGCACAGGGTTTCCCCACTCGTCCTTCAAGCCAACAGGGTTGCCCCACTCGTCGGTCCGGCGGCCTCCGCTGCCGTAGGGGTTGTTGTCTCCCCCGTACTGATGAGCCATGTATATATTTATTTATATACTATGATGAAGTATATTGTCTTATTCCCACTTCCTTTTTGGCACAAAATATGTATGTGTTCAATTGAGTTCGATCGATGAACTAGGGGAAATATATATATCTATACAAAAAGGATATGGATGGATGGATATATATACTGCAATATAATCTGCATGCTAGAAGAAGAAGAAGAAGTTAAAAAGTATGGGTACACGTGCTATGTTACTTGGCGATTCCCAAATTAAAAATCATGTGTGTTGTTAACTAACGTGGCTGTGCTCATGTGTTGACGGGTGTGTCTCTGTTGGTTTTTGGATAAGATATGAAGAAAGAGAGTCGGTGATATATTTTTGCTACCTCAGCTCCCTCTACAAGATAAAAATTTATTTTATTAATTTATTTATATGAGACTTTTTGTTGGATTTTTGGTGAGTAGAATGAATCGGATTGAGTGTCAAATAAAATCAATCACTTTTCTATATAAAGTTTGGATCCATTTTTCTAACTAAAAACTTTAAACAAATAACTATCGTTCACCATTCTTTATACTCCCTCCGTCCCAAAAAGATCTTCCTGTTTCGTTTTTTGCGCATCTCATAAAACATTTCTATCCCGCCTCAAATGCAAAAAAAACTTCCAAAACAACTTCTACCCACAATAAATGAGAAATGTGGTAAGTTTGAGGCATTTTAAATGTGTGTAGAAGTGTTTTATAGGATGCGCAAAAAATGAAACACGAATATCTTTTGGGATAAGGACCAAACTAAGAGTAAAAGATATGACATATTCCTAAAATAGGAGTTGAAACTTAAACTCCTCTAAATAGGAGTAATTAATTTAATTAATCTAATCTTCTCTCACACACTCTCCCTTCCCGTCCATTTCTTAATGTCCCCGGGCCGGTGGTCAATGCGGCGGAAAGGGGAATAATGTTGCTGGGTTTCCTGAAGGGTTTTAGGAGTATTCTGAAAATTGGCCGCTGCACATTTTGTTTCCTTCCAATTTGAATGAATTGAGTCAAGAAGTTTGACTGAGCTTTGGTGGGTGGGTTGGATTTGTTTGGTTGTAATTTAAACTTGTAATTTGATGAAAATGGTACTTGATTTTATCTTGAGTGTCAACTTGAAAGTTCTATAGAAAATGTGAAAACGAGGAAAGAATATTGTTTGAGAAAGAAAGGCATGATTTATTACCATAAATCATTTGTAAGGTTACAAATGAAGACGAAGGAAATTAAATAAATAAAGTTTGAATTTATAAATTATTCAAATATATACAAAAGAATGATATAGTAGAGAGGCCACTATTGAGACGAGACTTACACAGTGACATATAAAGGCATACATGCAAATACATAGTATTAAACAAAGGGATAATACCAAACATGAAAATGTATAAAGCCACACTTGGCAATGTATAATGACAGATATGTCATTGTATAATGCTATATATCACACATGTTAATTATATGTTAGCATCAAACTATTTTGATGCCTTACTTTGTCATCTTTGCATAATTTTCAAGTTCTAACCGATGCTTTTCGCCTTTTATGGGGTTTTCTTTCTTTTGAGAGAAGTCTTTGTTAGCCTGCATAGAGAAAAAGTTCGTGGGATTAAGTAGTATTCGGGTCGCACGAGGAATGATGGGCCTCTTGTTTCATATTCTAATTTGGGGAGAGAATCAAAAGTTTTTTAATCAAAATCCACCATTTTCGTCGTTGATTTTTTGCCTTCACTGCTGACATCAAAGCTCTCTACCACTGTCTCCAACAGCATAAACACAATTTGCATTGTTGATATCACAGTGACACATTAGCCACCAAATACAGTGTTAAAAAAACATAATGTCAAACATTACACCACATAGTGTCACAAATGATAATGCATAATGTCACAAATTCCCATATGTAATGTTTTAGATGCAAATTGACAGTGTCACACAAAGATAAATAGCCCATAGATCAGACAATTATAGTCTAATCAATAATTGATATGTGCATTTCAAATCAATAATCAAAAATTAAAAAAATAAGTCATTTTAGGGGGACAAAGATGTATTCTTGATTTGCTATTTATAGCTAAAATATACACAAAACATCACACAACTAATAGATGATGCACTGCATAAAGCACTCACAATCAATAATTAGAGTCCAAAAAAGGTAAAAAATCACAAAGAAAAAGGAAGGGTTTTTGGAAGGGGAATTTCGTCGAATACCTTTTGGGCCTCAAACGCATCAAAACGGTCGCGAGAAAAGAGGTGTTTCTCCGCTGGACCGAACAAGAGGAGAGATTTTGGCATACATAGATTAATTGATAAACATAGAGGAAATTAAACTGATAGCCAGAGCTTCTTTAGCAATAATAAATCCCCAAACAATAAACCCAATTCAAAAGTTATACGCGAATGGAAAAGGAAGGGCAACGAGGTGGAGAGGAGATGGCGGAAGGAGGATGCGGTAATCGTGACAGAGGGTCGACAACAATGGTAGCTAGGGCAGTGGGTGCGATGGTGCGGAGAAGAAGCTAAGCAGAGATAAAAGGAAGATACCATTTTTCTCTTTTTGTGCGGTCAAGAAAAATTGATTGAATATGGTGCAGGTAGGACTTTGGATAACATCACTTATTACTTGATTAATCACTCCTATTTAGGAGAGTTTAACTTTGAGCTCCTATTTTGATGATATGATATATGTTTTACTCCTATTTAGGAGGTTTTCTTATATCTTTTTGGGACGGAAGGGTATGAGGTAGTATTTGTTTGATTTTTTCGAGTGTGGGATAGACCCAACACACGAACTCCCAACCATTAACTTAAGCTTTTGGTTAAAAAGTGAATCTTAATTTTATATAGAAAAGTGATTAATATTGCCCGACACTCTACTCGATTCACTCGAGCCACTGAAAATCCAACAGAAATTCTCACATAAATAAATTAATAAAATACGGCGAAATAAACTAAATACGGAGTACATGCTTATCATAACAACAATATAAAAATGCTTATGCGAAGGACCCTGTGGTCCACTCACACCGCCGTGGCTCTCCAAAGTGGGAGGTCACGTGTTCAATATTCAGTATGAACGATAATTTTCCGAGCTTCAATAAATTGAAAAAAAAACATGAACAAATACTACAATATAACATGATAGAGATTGAATAGGGGATCTGGATAGCCAAGGAGACTTGCGGTGAGCGTCAATTTCATACAAAGACAAAAGATCGCCAACGGCAAATCATCCTTGGCTATATCGAGCAACACTTCATTTGATCGATCCGCATGAACATATAATACAATATAATATGATAGAGATTGAAGAGGGGATCTAGGTAGCCAAGGAGACTTGCGGTCAGCGTCAATTTCATACAAAGACAAAAGATCGCCAACGGCAAGTCATCCTTGGCTATCCCGAGCAACACTTCATTTGATCGATCTGCATGATTATTTATTTTCTTCATGCCATATTATACCAAAATATGATTGTGGATGCCTCTATTTATGCATGTTTTTTTAGAATAACCATTTCACTACGCTGTCTTATTAGTCTTCATTATTCATTATAATCATAAATTATTATAAAGTTAAAATTAAACATGAATTGTCAAGAAGTTGAACTTCGGAGTGATATTTTCTTTTCTTTTCTTTTTTTTAATAGAATAAGAAACTAATTTTAAGCTGTAATTTGTTATTTTATCATTATTATTTTAAATTAAAATGCCGGGATCGTAACGGTGTTGCATCAGAAAAATGAAAAAGCAAGTAAAAGTAAATTGTTACGAATGATTTTTAGATTTAGACTTCCATAAACTCGTCTTTTACTTCTTTTTTTTTCTTGAACTAGATAGATTTGGGTTATATATTTGTATAAACTGGTTTTAGTGACTGGTAAGTTTTGACCCCCTGATGAAATCTTGAAAATGAAATTTTAGAAAAATAGACATATTTTTTGACATATACTTAGAACATTAGTTTTATTTACAGAGTACGTAAGTTTATGTATGCACATTTAGGCGTTAGATAATATTAATTGAATGTATAGTAAGTAGATACGTACACTTGAATGTACCATATAGTTTGTAAGAAGGGAGATTTTATGATTGACCTAAAGTCCACATATATTTTCTCACATAATTTTTTATATTAATTACTCATTCCGTTTCAAAAACACTCTTGTCTTAATTATTTGTGCAAGCTACAAAATATTTATCCCTCAACAAAAATTTATAATTAGACAAATACTTTGAAACGAAAGAAGTATATCTTTATTTTATTTCTATTGATGTCAAACAAAACAATGCAAATGTAATTTGTCACTCCATATTTTACTGTACTCGGAGTAAATATGAGTTTATTGCACCAATATCCCCTATGGTTTGGTAAATGTGTACTCTTACCCCACATGGTTTCAAAGCTTACGTCATTGCCTCCTATGGTTCTAATATTACTACGCCAATATCACTTTAGATTAGACTAAATTACCATTCAGATATTAAATGAATAGCTCCGCTGTCTCTTATGATTTTGAAAATTTACACTAATGCCCCTCTTTTTTTCTTTATTATTTTTCTTTTTTCTTTTCCTTTTTTCTTAAAGAGAAAAATGTTTGTGTTTGAAATAATAAAAAATTTGTTTTTCAAAACTATTTTCTAAATAAATGTTTTAAAAAACTAAAAATTGTTTGTGTTTAAAAGAAAAAATGCAATAAAAAATTAAAATATACTTCATTCGTCTCAAATTAAATATATTTCCGTTTTTGTGTAAAAAAACTTCTTTTTTAAATATACATTAATAACATATGTTGGACCAATGTGCAACAAATTTTCTTCATGACTTAATTTTCCCTATTCTATAAAAATATTTTTCATATACTTTTCTTTCTCTTCATTTTCATTTCTATTATTCTTTCTTTAATTTTAATTTTGATTAGAACAAAAGAAACGCTATAAATTTATTTTTTAATCAAGAAGACAAGAAAATAAAAAGAGAAACAAAAAATGTGAAATGAGCTTCAGTACAAAAAAAGGTGAAAATGTTTCATGGATTTTGTATCATGAAAATGAACCAATAAGAACCTTTTTTGGGCAAAATGAAATTATTTAATTTGAGACAAATGAAGTGTACATTAA